AGGCTAATTTTTGACATATTGAGTTTCAAATATTTGGCAGATTATGCAACACCTGGTAAATGTAGGACTGAGCCTTAGAGAGAAAACTGAGTATATATTTGGGAGTCAGTCATGTAAAATGACAAATGTGATCATAGAAATGGATGAGATTACCTAAATAGATAGTATACGTAGAAAAGAAGAAGTTTAAAATTGCCTAAAATAACACTTGTATTTATGGTGTGGGAAAGACAAAAGGAATCTGAAAAGGAGGCAAAAGGAAGGGATGGTGTGGTACAAGGAAGGGACAAGGTTGGATAGAGTTGTTATTTTCTAAAGTGAGGATTTCTAAGTGGATTTATTGTCTTTTAGTTTACTGAAAGGTGTTCTATGCAATGGTATAGACTTTTGAGTACCTTGGAGTTTAAAGACAGTAAATTTTTTTTTCAAGTCATATTGTAGACATTTCAGAATTGGCCCAAAGATCACCTTTTGGAAAACCAACTGCCTTGCTGGAGAGGAAACTTCTCATGAAGGTTAAACATATTGAATCTCATTTTAGATAGGCAGAAAGAAGAAATTACACAGTGTCTTTCAACTTAAAAATTGTATAATTCTCTGTAATTATTTTGAAGAGAGTCAATTATCCTGTCAATTTGTTTTTATTAAACCTCAGTAATGTCAACTTTGTACTTCTGCTATGGCCACTGGGGAAAAAAAAAATCTCACATGGCTTTGTGTAGGCTTAGAACAGATTCATGGAATAAGACCAGTAACACTGCATCAATGAGACAGACCATAGGGAAAAACAACAACATGTCTTTTATTCCATAAAACCAATCTGATTTATTCCTTTAATAAAAAGTTTAGTGTGGAACACGGATGCAACATCCCCAGTTTTGTGAAAGGTAAAAATAGCCTGGAATTTTTCAGTGAGAGTGGAGGTATCTTTGTCAGTCAAAATGTGGGTTCTGATCTGCTGATGAAACATCCTACTGTGTTGGGCTCTTTAAAGTATTGTATTGAGTCAAAAGATTCTTCATGGCATCTTGGGAAGTAGAAGAAATTCAGGAATTGTCTCACAAATGATACAGATAGGATTCAGTGGTGATTTGCTGCTTCCTCATTTCTGCTTCCTCATCTGTAAAATGAGGGAGTTGGACTAATCAGGAGCTCCTAAGCATTTTTGGTGTTGTGTACCCTTGTTGAAGTCATGAATCCTGTAGACCTTTTCTCAGGGAAAAAAGGTTTTTAAATGAATAAAACAAAATACACAGGATTACAAAGGGAACCAATTATACTGAAATATAGTTATCAAAATATTTTTTAAAACAAGTTCACAGACCTCAGATTAAGAATCGCTTGTAAGAAATCTAAGGTTTTCCAGCTCTAATAACCCAGGGTTTTATCAATAGTGGCAAATAAAACCAGCTCTATGGGAGAACTGATTGAACAAAGGCTATGGGGTCCTTGTTCTCAGATTGAGCTCAGAAGGACCTGAGCAAAGTTATCTTGGAAGTTGCTGCTGTTTGTTGCCAGACCAACAGATGCAAGCTGCTTAGGAGCCTTCGTGAATCAAGGGCATTTTGCCAGTGTTATAAATAGAGATGGGTAAATATACTGGAGTCATCAGCTTCCAACTCTTCTTCTGATGTTTGGGGCTCCACAACACCCAGAAGACATTGTGCTGAGTACATTTTCCCTTAATTTGGGGGACCATGTGTAATTTCTGGAAATGGAATCCATATGTTTCTGTTTCATTTACACTGAAATCATCAAAAGGTTGTGTTGTAAGAGCTATTTGATGTCTAAGATGCCTTTTGAGCTTTTCTTAAAAAAGAAGAAGAAGAAGAAGAAGAAGAAGAAGAAGAAGAAGAAGAAGAAGAAGAAGAAGAAGAAGAAGAAGAAGAAATCTTTAAAGCCTTTTCTCCTTTGAAAACAGGAAGGCATGTTTGCCAAGACCAAATAAACTTGAACCAAAAGGTTCAACTTGGGCTGAAACTCCAAACCTATTAATTTCAACTGGGTTCTCAACTCAGAAAAACACAAAGGCCATTTTCCCAAAGCTAGTTACTGAGACACACTTGAGGGAATGTAGAGAGGACTGTAGCTTGGCAGCTACTCAAAAGGGACAGCAAGAGCCCTGAAGCATCCCTTGTTACCAAGCTAACAAATGCTCAGGTTGCTCTAAGCCTGTGTTATTTTCTAAACTCCTGAAAGCAGTCACTCCAGGTCAGGGTTAAGAGCTCTTGGCAGGAGCCTCATGTGGATGAAGCTTTAAATACAACTGCTTGCCTTTGTGTGGAACTCAATGATTGCATGATGTTTTTCTGGGGATAGTCTTTGGGTCCAGGACATATTTTTTTTTCTCTGCATGCTGTTAATCAGTCCCATTTTCAATACCTGAGTAGACTGTGTCCATGTGAAAGTGTGCAAAAGTTCTTTTTAAAACTTATTAGAGGGGCAGCTAGGCGGCGCAGTGGATAGAGCACCAGCCCTGAAGTCAGGAGAACCTGAGTTCAAATCCGGCCTCAGACCAAACACTTGACACTTACTAGCTGTGTGACCCTGGGCAAGTCACTTAACCCCAATTGCCTAAAACAAAACAAAACAAAACAAATTAGACAATTGATTCTAAGAAAACCTTTCATCTCACAAGTTTGTTAAAGATAACTAGTTTGAATAGAGTGCTTTGATAAACTAACAATGAACAAACAAGTCTTTTCATTTAGAAGGTATGAGTTAAATTCAATTAAAAAACATTTTAAAGTGTACTATGTGGAAAATATTAGGCTAGATATTACCAGGTTGGGAGGGGTTATATGTTATGTTCCCAGCTGTACCTAAAATATAATCAATGTAAAACATGTTATCAATTTATGTATTGAGGGTAATCAGGAAGGCACTTGATTTGGTAATTCCACCAGTCCCTTGAAGAGATTACTGAGAAAGCAAAACATATAGTGCAGAAAAGATACAGTGAGATCCTTTGATTGGTTGTCAGTAGTTAAGGCTACCTCCTTATGACTGGTTGACTGAAGCAGTTTGGTCAGAGAATCCACCCCCTCTGTCATCTGTAAGAGTGAGCTGGGAATATGTTGTCTCTTTTACTTACTTTATCTTGTAGGCAAAAGGGGTTTAATGCAGATCTCTACCAGTCCTCACCCTTAGACTTGAGCGTCCTGTGAATGCCCAGGTGAGACTGGACCTCCTAATCCTGGCTGAACTTTTTTTTTCCTATTTCCTTTTCTGAACCCAAATCAAAGATTAGAGGTTCTAAGAATGGATGTTTCTAGACTTGAGGGTTGTCCCCTGGGTAATCCTGAGTTCAAAAATACCTGAGTCAAGAGTTGAGCACAAACCTCCCAGACTAAAAATGCTTTCCCAGAGAAGAAAGAAAGGAACCTCTACAGAGAAGCAAGCACCCCTCAGCTAATGGACAAAAGCCATGCCATGAGAACCCTAGAATGTTAGACCTTTGCCAATCTTCCATGATATTTCAGTGAGGTACTTAAATGGCACAAACCCAATGTGAATAGAAAGTATTATTTTTTAGTAGTTTAACAAAAAAATTTACTTTTCTGGGGAAGTATAAAGGATATAATGGGCTGTTTCAATGAGTCTTTGTGTTATGTTTTTTGATGCTGTGTGTGTGTTGGAGGAAGCAAAAAGTTATTTCATATGTGATACCCATACTGAACATTGAACACTTGTGGGAAAAACATATAGGGAGATGAGGAAAGTTCTAGGGATAGAAGGATGACATGACATAGGCCCTTCCTTCAAAGGACTTGCATTCTACTAAAGGATATGTTATGTACCAGTAAGTGTAAGACAAGGTAGGGAATGATGAGGATAAAGGAGAGGTCCAGACAAAATGTTGTAGGAAAAATTGAGAGGGAAGTCAATGTTTTCAGTTGAAGAAATCAGGAAGGATTTCACTAAGCCTTAAAGGAATAGAAGGATTTTGAAAGCTAGAGATGAATAAGAAGTGCATGAATGCAAAGAGTTTTATTATGACATCTTGTCATTTCTACTTACTGGAGAAGCAATGTAGTGTTGCTGGCTTTGAAGTCAGGAAGATCTGGGTTCATGTCCCACCTGTATGTGAGATAACTGGACAAGTCAATTAATCTCTCAGTGCTCTTGGCAACTGTGTAAGACCTTAATATTCAGAGAGTGTACTGACCTACATTGATAGAGGAAGTTTCCTATATCAGTGAACTCAGATTACTTCCACCTACAGATAGTTATACTGTGGTGTATTTAATATAATAACAAAACTTTAAAGTTAGAAAATCCTTCAGAGGTCACCTCGTTCAGTTAAACTTTATGTTCCATGAGTTACTTAAACAGCCCTATAGGTGACTTCTGTCATCCATTTTTGATTGGCAAAACGGAAAAAAACAAAACAAAACAGTGAACTTTTGTATAAAGTAAATTACTGTTTTGTGGATATTTTTACACATGTTCCTTTTGCTTATTTTAACATGGATTCAGATTTATAATGAAAAGATACATTTTCAAAAACCCTATATTTTGGTGTGACTAGTATTTTGGACTTATTCAAAACTAATGCTTTGTGACCCAGTAGCATACACCTCAATTAGACCTAAGTTCTTCTAGACAAAGGAGGATCTTTAAGGATCTTTTATAGAAAAAAAGAGGTTAAGTAAACAACTTCATGGAAATAACACAAAAGAAAAATCTGTTCATTAAAGAAGCATGTTCTATTTATTCCCTTTTGCTTTCCCTACTAAAGAGCCTCTGGTATTTTGTTTTCCTTCTATTCCTTTTGGGCAGTCCTACAGTCCTACAGGTTAGTTTGTGAGGAAGTTGCAGCCTGTACCTATTTTCATTGTTTGTTGCTTAGTTCATTCATTTTTGTTTTAAACTTGTCCAATCAGCGTCTGCATAACCCAGTCACATTCTTTTTGTTGCCACGTTGCCAGGTTACATCCAGAGGACAAAGAGCTTGGATTCCTGTTACCCAGGCAGTATCAAATGCTAATATTCTAAAGTCTTAAGGGAGAGGAGACTTCTGTCTTTGAACTGGGTGGTTTTGTTCCTATCTCTCACCAACTGTACCGGGCCCTGGTATGTTATGGCAAAGGACTGAGGCTGAAAGGTAAGAGAGACATGTCACAAGCCAAAATTATCAGAATGAGTTGTTTTTGTGTTGTCTATATCTCCTTCAGTTTTAAATTTTCCTTTGAACTAAAAAGAGATTAGTTTTGTTCCTAGTAAATGCTTGCACCTGATCTTGTCATTTGATGACCATTTAATCCTCAATATTTCTTTGCAATAGACAAGAAAACCAAAGTAAAGTAATTAGCCAGTAAGTCAAAATCTTAAATAAAATGCTGTAAAAAAAAATCCAGTCACTTCATTGTTTGAGGCTGGTAATGTGAGCCATTCTTAAATTTAATTAATTTAATTAAAAAATTAAATACTAATGCATAAAATGGAGAAACAATTTTTATGCAGAGAGAGAAACTTTTGTCATATTCCTTGGGTGGGGGGAAGACTATAAATTGAGAATTCTTTTTGGTTTTAATTTTTTTCTTAATTAATTTTGATTTATTAACAATCACTTTCATAAGCTTTTGAGTTTTAAATTTTTCTCTTCCTCCCTGTCCCGCTCCCTCCTCAAGATGGGTGCGCAATCTGATATAGAAGAATGTTTTTGACAGATGTTTATAAACTATGTTATCTGTGAAAGAAAAGGTACTATTAGGGCCAAATGTACTCACTGATAATTTTTAAAATGATTTGATAGTCTTATTTATGAATTTCCTCATCTACATCATCATGTTTTTAGTATTTGCACCTGGTGCAAGCATAAAAAACAAATGTGCAAATTGATACCTCCTTTCACTCTGTTCTCTTGGGGCTATGATGGACTGTCAGGAAGTACATGCTTTCTCCACATATTGTGTGCATATACTCACTTCTCCCAGTACTCTAATGTGAAAAAGATTTTGGAGTTAGCCAGAGCCAAAGAGATAAAAAGTTTAAAATCTTTTCTCAAGTAACAGAGAAATATTTTCAAATATGCTGTATATCACTTGAAGTTGATAAGACCTCAAATTTCTATTAGACAAGAGATGTTTCATATGTAGTATATATGTAAATACACATTTTATGTATGAGCATGTGTGTAAAGTGTTGCATATCAATGAGTTAGTTTCTCTAAATAAGAACAAATAAATCCTTTTTAAAAATTTTGTAGCAAAATAAAGTATCTTCCCATTTTTATAACCCTAGATGTAATTATAAATAAACAAAAAATCAGCACTTTGAAATTTTTGCTAGCCTGTCATTATAATGAAGCAGCAGATTTCAATGTTCTTCGTGGTTTAAAGAAAAATAAATTCTTATATTCCTATAGTATTCTGCAGCTAAAATGCTCATGTTATCTCATTTTATCCTGCAACAAACCTATGAAGTAGGCAAATAGATTTGTTATAACCATTTCAAGATGAGGAAATTAAGGATCATAGAAGTTATATGACTTGCTCAAGATCAAATGATTAGTAAAAAGTCAGGACTAGAATCTAGGTCCTTTGACTTCTAGCAACTATTCTTTTCACTGTACTGTTTCACAGTATTGTTTCTATGGATCATATTTTCTAGCTTCTTTATAGAAAGTATAACCCTTCCAGAATTCCAAGGGATTTGGCATTTCGGAGGGACTGACTGCTGAAATCATCTCTCTGAAGGTTTTTAAAAACTACACAGTCATGAAAATACATGTAAAAGCATTTTCTCAACCACATGCAAATAGAAATTCAATGTATATATATATATATATATATATATATAATATGTAAATTTTATTGCATGTATTATGTATCTATATACATATATCTTAAGTTGACATTTAATGCAACACAAACCAAATTTATTTTTTTTCCAGTGGACTTTCCATCTCAAAGTACATTAAAAAGCAACATCAGAGTGAGCAGTCATAACAGACCCAAACTCAAAAAAATCCTTCCTGACTGGGTACAATTCCTTTCATAAGCTATGTAACTCCACTTTCTTATCAATCTGTAAAATTTCAGTCAATTACCCAAGCTGTTAGAAGGAGTTGCTTCTTCACTAGGGAAGGGATAATAACAACTAACCATTTCTGCACTAAATGTGGCCAAAACAGTCAAGCCATAGGACCCAACTTCAACGAAGAGTTATCTTACAAATGTTGAAGGAAGTTTAAGGGTGGTGCAGGGAGAAGCTCCAAAGATTGTTTGATGCACAGTTTTGATGTTAATAAGATTTGGGCCATTTAATATGAAATAATTTTTCCCACCATTTTCATGCATGAGAAAAGGCTCTTTGGTTTCATCATGGCATCCACATATCCAATTCATTGTCAAATTTTGTCATGTTTGCTTTTATAATATCTTTCATAAATATCCTCTTCTTTCATATAGCTATACCCCTAGTTCGGTACTTCATCACCTCTTACCTACAACACTCTTCTAACTGCCTGAAGTCTCCCCTCCTGTCCATCTTCTACTCAACAAGAATGAACATTCTAAAGCATAAATTTGACCACATCACTGGCCCTCTACTGTAGGGATAAAGTTTAAAATGTTTTATTTGACATTTAAAGACCTTCACAGTCTGACTCCTTTCTACTTTTCCAATCTTTTTTATACTTTACTCACCTCTAAGCACTGCTACACTGTCCTGCTTGCTGTTCCTCACATGAAGCTGCATGACCACTTCTAAAAGGTGCAGGCAGTTTTGTCTTACGATTTCTTGAAATATGGTCTCTAGGTTTCAGGGAGTCCAATCATTCCTAAACTCTCTCTCTTTAATCTGTTTCCCAGTTCTGTTTTTTTTTTAAATTTTATGTCTTACAATTTTTATCTATCTATCTATCTATCTATCTATCTATCTATCTACCTATCTATCTATCTGTCTGTCTAATTTGTTTGTTTGTTTGTTTTTAGTTTTTTGACTTTGTTCTAATCCTGTTGTCTCATGGAATCACCACATGTGAATTGCTCTGTTCTCTCTTTCAGAGTCCGCTATCTGAATAAGTCTTACCTTTTCTATTTTTCCTTGCATATCTCTCATTGCTAACTTTATTTTTTCAAGTGTTTGCTTCATTTTATTTAGCTGCTCTCAGAGATTGTACAGTAAAGCCATTTTTTTCCTTTGAGGCTCTGCTTTATATATTCTTAACTTATTCTGTCTGGGTTTATCTCCTCGACTTCTCTCAACACATGGAAATTCTTGTTTATTCATATTTTCAACTTTAGTTCTTTGATTTTGACTTCATGATAGGTCTAGTCTCTGGTACTTTAGGATTTGATCCTAGTTGGTACTGCTCCCATGCACTCTTTATTTTATTTTATTTTAGTGAGGCAATTGGGGTTAAATGACTTGCCCCAAGTCACACACCTAGGAAGTGTTATGTGTCTGATGCCGGATTTGAATTCAGGTCCTCCTGACTCCAGGGCTGGTACTCTATCCACTACACCACCTAGCTGCCCCCTCCCCTGAACTTTTGATGCACTGCCATTCTGGACTGGTGGCTGTTACTAGACACTACTAGATCTGCCTTGATACTTGTCTTCTGACTCAGTGTCCTGATGGTACTATACAGTTGCTGACCTCAGCCTATCTCTTTCTCTTCCTTTCACAATCCCCAAATAATCTGTTCTACCCATTTCTCTTGCATAAAAAGTCCCAGTTAGATGTTGATCGGGCCACTGATCCCTGACCTGTGAGCACCACCATCCATACCCCAATAACGTTTAGGTGATCAAAGACTGAGTTGGCCCTGTCTCCATAGTTCATAGGTAGGCCCTCTCTCCCTGCACAGTGACCTGTGGGGACAATTACTATGCTGGAATCTGGTTTTAGGTATTTATTAGTGTAGCTCAGGCTGCCTTGTGACACCTTCTACCCCTGACCCTGGGAGTGTCCTTGTTCAGAGGACCTGCTGATTTCAGGACAATTTACTGTAGCTCTTACGGGCTTTCCTAGCACAGCCCCTCTCCTGTAACATGCCAGCTTTTTACTTGCTTACTGGAGATTGGGTTGGTTTCCCTGGTATTACCACTTTCCTAGCCTCTATTGACTTTTGGATGTGCTCTTCTGCAGTTCTGGACTAAATGACAAAGCTTACTTCTATTTCTCTTGGTTTTCTTTGTCATTGACCTGGTCCTTTGCAGTTATTTTCTTGAACTGCCAACATAGCTGGTTGTTTACTCAAGCCACTAACTAAATTTACTTACATACATTCAGCATTCATAGTTTGTTGCTCATGAACCATAGCTGTCTCATCATTGTAATGGGAACATCACATTTCAAAAAATTAATTGATTATTTTGTTTTTATAGTGTCTTCTTTTTTCAATATATCTCTTCCTCTCTCTCTCTCTCCTGAAATAACATTCTCATTATAAATAATTAAAAGAGAGAGAGAGAGAAAGAGAGAGACAGATAGGCATACAGAGACAGAGATGAAGACAGAGAGACAGAGATAGAGAGACAAAGAGAAACAGTTGGGCAAAAGTTATCAATATATCAACAAAATGTGACATATGTGGGTTTCATACCCACAAATGCCTGCTTCTTTGGGGATATGTCCCAGGACTGATTTCTAGTTGTTGTTTTCATCTACATTGTTGTAATTGTTATGTATATGTTGTTTTGTTTTGGTTTGGTTCTGCTTACTTTGCTTTGTATCAGTTCATGAGTTTTCCCATGCTTCTCTGTATTCTTGATATTCATCTTTTCTTACAATTTCTATTACTTTTGTTTACCAAAGTTTAGCCAACTCCCCATTAGTAGGATTATACCTTGTTTCTAACTCTTTGTCATGCCAAAAATTGCTACCATAAACATTTGGGTGTATATGGACCTTCAGTTCTACAATATCTTTGATTTCCTTGGAGGATATGCCTTAGAAGCCCAATCTTTGGATGAGGGGATATGTCCATTTAGGTATATATTTTTTGAGTGAGATTCCTGAACTAATTACTTCTTTATTGCAATTTAAACTGTCAAATATTTTAAATTATTTATAATTTCTCTGTCCTATCACATAATCTGTTTTTATAGGTACTATATGATACTACAAAATAAGAATATTAATGGAAATTAAGAT